TTCTGCTGGGCTTTTTAAAAATTTATTTAGAGACAGATTCTCACTCTGTCACCCAGGCTAGAGTGCGGTAATGTCATCATAGTTCATGGCAGCCTCGAACTGCTGAGCTCAAGTGGTGCTTCCACCTCAGTTCCCAAGTGCTAGGACTCCAGGGACGCACACCATGCCTGTTTAATATTTTATTTTCTTAGGGACAAGTTATTGCTATGTTGACGAGGCTGGTTTTGAACTCCTGGTCTAAAGTGTTCCCGAATTGGGATTATAGGCATGAGCCACCATGCCCAGCTCTCTGCAAAGCATTTTGAGAAGCAGAGAGACCAGGATATCTGGAGTGCAGTGAGTGAGGACAGTGTGAGGAGGTGGGAGAAGGGATCAGAGAGAAGGCAAGGTGTCAGATCATGCAGGGAGAGCCCTGTAGGCAAGGTAAGGACTTTGGATTTTTTTTTTTTTTTTTTCTGAATGAGTTGGGAAGCATTGTAGAGTTTTAGACAAAGGAGCGTCATATCATCTAAATTTTCTCTGGCTTCTTTGTGGAGAATAATCTATAGGGCGGCAGTGATGGAAGTAGGAGCACAGCTGGGCAGCTACTGCAGCAATCGATGTAAGATAATGATGGCTTTGACCCAAGTGATGGAGGTAGAGATTGGGAGACATCCTGGATCCTGGATGCATTTTGAAGGTGGAGCTATCAGATTTATGAATGGATTGAATGAGAGATATGAGTTTACCATAGTAATTATTACTATATAGATGTCATTCATTTATACCACAGAAACAACTGATGTCCTGTCAGATGCTAGTGCTGTTCCACAGTTGGGGTTACAGCAGTTGTATTTTCATGATGTTGAATTCAAGTAAAGGAAGACAAATTATAAATAATTTGAAAAATAATTTTAGTATGATAATTAACAGTAGTTTGTACTAGAAAGAAAATTTCATCAAGGGCATGTGAATGATGTAAGTGGCTACATTGGACAGGCAAGGCCCTGGGGAGCTAAGGTCTGAGCCAAGAAGACTCAGATGTGAAGGAATGGAGAAGCAGGGGGATTTGGTGGGGGAGCACTCGAGGCAGACAGACATGTAGTGCAAGGATCCTAAGGCTTGGTTAATAGGGGAAGATATGTCATTGCCGTTTAAACATTGAATTGGGGGACAAAGTGGTTCTATATTGATAGGGAGGTCAGTATGGACCAGATCACACTGCGCTTGGCAGGCTAGGGAAGAATTTTAGATTATCATAATTCCTTGGCAATAAGAAGTTATTGTAAGGTTTCAAACAGAGAACAATATAACCTAATTTGTCTTTGATACAGGGAGGGGAACAATATACACTGGGGCCTGTGGTAGGGTAGGGGGTGCGGGTGAGGGAGAGCATCAGGAAAAATAGCTAATGCGTGCTCAGCTTAATACTTAGGTGATGGGTTGATAGGTGCAGCAAACCATTATGGCACACGTTTACCTATGTAACAAACCTGCACATCCTGCACATGTATCCCGGAACTTAAAATAAAATAAAATAACTCACAGTGACTGCTGGGTGGATAATGAGTTTTAAGAGGACTTTGGCAATGAAAGCATTTAGGAAGCTATTGTGTTATGACTAATTCCACATGCTTTCCTTATCTGAACACAACAAGTTGATACTGGTTTTGTTTTTAAAGTGAAATAAATATTTGCCCCTCCATGCTCCCACCACTGCTTGTTCATCAGCATTCTCAGGGAATGAAATGATCCACAGAAGACTTCCCAAATAGCTGTGGTTTCCATCTTCAATCTCTATATCTTTAAAAGCATATGGTCCATTTCAGTGAAAGTTTTTCTGAATATTTAATACATACTTACCATTTAAATGGAGGATAGTGAGTAAAGCCTAAACTTTTCCTTTGCCTCATGGCTGTATTGGCGTTGGTTAAAAATGATGACTTCAGAGACTTCAGATCTCCAGACCCATGAGCTTTACAGATGCTAGCTCTATTCTTTTTCCCTTGGCTCCTGACTGTGATGTCCTTGTGTTTTGCTTCCACAATCTCCTATCCCCAGGTTTTCAGGACACGTTTAATCTTCTTTCTTGATACATTTCTGCTTCTCTTCTTGAGTAAATTTGATGGACTTGGTGACTGTTACATTCTTCCAAGGCCACCTTCTATTGGCATCTGGTTTAAACTATGTCTGTTTTTTTGCTAGAAACTGTCATATGAATAAAGAAAAGAGTAGAAATTATTGTAGTCATATTGCAGAGCAATTTGAACATTCCACTGAAGTTGAATATGTGCTACCTACAATCCAGCCATGATAATTCTAGATATATACCCTAGAAAAGCGGGTGCATATACACAAGAAGACACATTACTGGGATGTTCACCGAGGCATCCAAAATGGTAGAAGCAACCTAACTGTCCGTACAAAAAGGGAATGAATAAATAATCTGTTTATTCGTATAATGGAATGCTGCATAATAAAGTAACTGAATTAAATCTGTGTGTATCAATAACTGCAAAAATGTAAAGTGAAAATAAAAAATTTCAAAAGGATATAGAAATGTAGTGTAATGCTCTTTACATATATTTTAGAAATACGAAAATAATACATGTGTATATACATGTGCATACACACACACACACACAACTAATGGCTAATACAGTATAAAAACATGGTAATGATACATAAACATTTCAGAAAACTTCTGTGAATAAAAGCAGATAGAAGAGAGAAAAGAGGACCTAGTTGAATCTGTCCTTTTTAAATGCTATGTTAAAAAATAGATACATATGTTTTTAACTAATCTGTAAAATGTTCTCATCTATTATGTCTGACTTTTGACTACATAGGGTATCAATTTATGAATTTTTCCATATGATAGAAATATTTAATAATTTAAAATATCATATAATAAAAAAATGTCTTTTATAGTTCTTCCTACAAGCTGTATTTGATCACTTCTATGGTTTTATGGGTGGCTCTTAACATCTAGTCACACCATTAAATTGTTTTTTTCTTGTGATTGGTTGAATCATCTTTAGCTGTGATGCTTAAATTTTGACTTTTAGGTTGACTCTTCAATGAGATCACAGGAATTTATTGGAAGATCTAACCAAGGGACTGAAATAAATTGAATGCAGTGAAATTGCAGGCATTGTTTCAGCTACCTTAAAGACCACATGATGTACCGATACAGTTGTTAAATCAACCCAGATAAACATGTGTGCTCCAAGTTGGAGAAATCTGAGGCAGAGAAAAAGAATTATCCCAGGTGCCCAAGTCACTTACATGAACAACTTGAATTGAGTACTATTAATATTAGGCTGTTTTGCCAGGAGTGGTGGCATGCACCTGCCGTCCCAGCTACTCAGGAGGCTGAAGTGAGGGGATCACTAGAGCCCAGGAATTTGAAGCTGCAATGAACAATGATTATTCCACTGACTACAGTCTGGGCAACAGAGTGAGAACCTATCTCTTTAAAAAAAAGTAAAGAAAAGAAACCCTAGGCTCTTCCTTCCCCTCTCCCCAGACAGAGTCTGGTGCAATGATCTCAGCTTACTGCAACCTCCACCTCACAGGTTCAAGCAATTTTCCTGTCTCAGCTTCCCAAGTAGCTGGTAGTACAGGCACATGCCACCACGCCTGGCTAATTTTTTGTCTTTTTAGTAGAGATGGGGTTTCACCATGTTGACCAGGCTGATCTCAAACTCCTTACCTCGTGATCCACCAGTCTTGACCTGGCCTCCCAGAGTCCTGGGATTACCAGTGTGAGCAAGTGCGCCCCGCCCCTTGGCTCTTTTTAAAAACTGCATTTGTTTGAGTGTAATGAATAGAAAAGGAAGTTATGGCATGAACTGTTTGATTTTTCTGTTCTTCCACTACTGGGAGATTTCATAAGCCAAATATTCTCTCTAGAGAGGGGCATGCCTGATGATGCTTACAGTCTGTGAAGAGTCTGGTCTTGTTCTCCTTTCATCCTGTCTAGAGAAAGGATAATCAACAACAGAATTTTTTTTAAACCCTAATACTTTAGACAAGTCATATTCAGCCACTCTGTGGAAACCCTGATTTTTCTACGAGGCTTTCTTAGAGAATAAATATTAACACATATGCTTCATGTGCTGATACATATTGCTGTGGTTTCAATGTGTCCCCTCTAGAATTTGTGTTGAAATGTCATCCCCATTGTGGAGATATTAAGCAGTGTGGCCTTTTGGAAAGTTATTAAGTCATGAAGGATATGTCCTAGTGAATGGATTAGCACCTTAGAAACAGGCTGGAGGAAACTAGCTTAGGACTCTTTGCCCTTCTGCCTTCACCATATGAGGACACAGTATTCAAGGTGCCACCTTGGAAGCAGTGACTGGGCCCTCACCAGACCCGAATTTGCCGGCATCTTTATCCTGGACTTCCCAGCCTCCATAACTGTGAGAAATAAATTCATGTTGTTTATAAATTACCCAGCTTCAGGTATTTTGTTATAGCAGCAGGAACAGGCTAAGAGAGATTTAATATGGAATCCCGAACAATGAAACAACTATTTGTACTTCTAAAATATACGTAGTTCTCAAAAGCAGTATGTTCAGTAGGCTAGCTCTCTAACTTATCTCTGAAGTTAATTAAACATTATGGCTTAAAAATGTGTTTTAGTTTCTTCTCTTTGAACTTTTATAAAGAAAATATACTTTTGGGACTTGAAAAATTCCGTGTTATAAAATGTCTTTCTAGGGTAGTTTGGGTAGCACCTAAGGCACCTATAATTAAAATTACATATTTTTCATTTAAAAATTCCATTTTATAGTTTTCAAATAAATTCTTTTTTTACTATCAATAAAGAGGTATGTTGTACAACTTTATATATAGCACTTTGTTTCATTAAACAAATGTCATTGATTTCATTAGCAGAAAACTTTATTTTCTTCACCTTAATTTTGAATACAATTACCAAATAAAAGTAGCTTTTATCTTTGTCCCTTTGAGGTTAGAGATGATATCTTATTGATTTCTCTCTCTCTCCCTAGCACAGTGCCTACGCATGGTAAGTAATTAACTGTCTGTTGACTGGTTAAAGTATCTGTATTACAAGTAAATACAAAATGCCAGGTTTTACAAAACACTCATTCCATATTGTCTATCACTCCCATTCTATTTTATTTTTCATCATAGTATAAGTTATTAAGATATTATTAAAATATTATTAAGATCATCTGGGGAACTTTGCTCACTTCCATTCTTGAAATTTTTATAATCTTCTCTTAAGAAGAAACTCGAAATGTTTAAGAGCATCTCTGATAGCTTGGTTCTTGTTTGTATAATGGGATAATTTTATTTCTTTGGTTGCCATCCTGCAAACACTTTTTCTAAGTCTTTAGAAACCTCTGTTTTTAAATTGCTTTTGCTACATGTGATAAACTGTAAACCTGTGGCCTTCTAAGATGATTCAATCAGTCTCGACATCTCTTCATCTCTTGGTAGCACCCTCACCATTTGTGCAACTATTTCCACTGAGTCACATTTCAGCCTGTGTAGAAACTCATGACGACGTGTTGTTTTATAACACCTTACACTTTGTGCATTTTGCCATTATAGGGGTGGGTTAATGTGCTATAAATGCACAAATTCTTGTTATCACAGTAAATTCTAGGTAGAGAAGAGACCATGGAAATTTTTTTTTTATTTTTATTAGTTTGAGAAAATTAATAGGTATCTCATATGACTAATATCAGAAAATTTAAAACCTATAAACATGCAGCCAAGCAAAAGGGCTGTCATTATGAGTATTTTCAGAGTGTATTGTCTGAGAATACGATGGGGTTTTCCATTGCCAAAAAGAAATGGACACAGTTTCCTACTAGTAACTTAGGGGAGATACTTTTTCAGGTATACAATGCAGGGAGTTACTTGACCTAAAATGGGTACTTAAATTTCACTGATGATTTAAAGATAAGTAAACAATTTTCTCTTTTTTGCCAGAGTTGTTTTCATGTAACAATACATCTTATAACAATACTTGCATTATAACATGCTTTATATGTATTATCTCGCTTGATTCAGGTGATGACTATTTTCAATAGATATTGTTGCTGTCTCCATTTTACAGATGTTATAGGCAAATTTAAAGGTGTGTAGGCAAGTTACATTAATTCATAGTGATGGACTTCAAACTCTTTGCCTCTATTTTGTTGGAACATTCATTAAATAATCAAATAGCACCTGCTATGAGTGGAGCCTTTCAACTCATAAAAACCAGAACGTTTCAAGGGAAAAGTACTCACAGCACCTGCCCCCCCCCAAAAAAAAAGAGAAAAAGAAAGAAACAAAAACAAAAAAAACAAAACCTGTTAAAAATGTCTTCATCACAGACAAGACTCTTTCAGGGGTGGTGATAGCCATGGGACAGAGGGAAGGGCAGGTAAAGGTGATGGGCCAAGGAGAGTAACATCGCCTTCCTCAGCCTAAGCTGCAGGATTATAGGGAAAGCTAAGTAGCCTCTGGGTGATAGTATCTGCTTGGGAGAGCCGTTGTGTGAATTCACTTTGTGAGGTCCAAAAATAAATGTGACTTAGATATGTTCACACCATTCCTCTCTTTCCCGTTTTTTCCTGGGTTACCTGGTGTCCACCTGGCTTTGACTTGTGCCAATACCCAGTGCATGGATGGAATACAGTGAGAAGGAAGCTGCAAGGGTCAATGGAGGCAGAGGCAGAGAACAAGGATGAGAACAACAAATTTTAAAGGAGCTCTGTTGAACATTTGGGGAATAGAGGTTGGTGAGGAGACTAGCTAAGATGTTTTTTCTCTCTGTTGTATAACGGATTGCCCTGTGGCATCTCTTTATACAGGTGGCTATATAATTTTTAATCACTTTTTTAAATGTTGGATGAATATTTCTTTTGAGTGCAATAAACTTATGGTGAGATACACTACTAGGTGGCCTAGTTTTATTCAGGATGTGTAAGAGATAGAGTATTATAAAGCTGTATTCATGAAGATTCTTACTAAATATTCTCAGATGGTAACATTTTGATGGCTAAAAATAACACATGCTTTCAAAGAAAAATCTATTATTCAACTTAATGTAACCAGTTTTTTTTTATATCTATATATATACACACACACGCACACACACACCCAACAGAGAAACAGAGATACTTTTCGACTTACAACAGGGTTACATTCCAATAAACCCATCATAAGTTAAAAATATAGTAAGTCAGAAATTGCATTTAATACAGCTAACCGAACCAAATGTCATAGCATAGCCCAGCCTACCTTAAACATACTGAGATCACTTACATTAGCCTATAGTTGGTCAAAATCAACTAACATAAAGCCTATTTTATAATAAAGTGCTGAATACCTCGTGTAGCTTATTGAATACTGTACAGAAACTTAGAAACAGAATGATTGTATGGGTACTTGAAGTACAATTTTTACTGAATGCATGTTGGGGACCGTGTGTGCATGTGAATTGGAACACACACAGTCGCTTTTGCAGAAGTTTTGAAGTCAAGATACAACATACACTAATATTGGTTTCACAAGGTAAAGTCCATTATTATCACTGTGAGAATTCAGTGAGGAAGATACTGCTTTTAGCCAGGTAGAATAATGTAGATAAAATATATTTTGATTATTTGAATTAGGAGTTTCATGTGATGAGCTGCATTTCTACATATCTTATTTCCTACTCTTGAAAGAAATCAACAAGTTCTTCATGACGTCTTTATTACAGAAGAAAGTAGAGTAATATGCCAACATATAGGCATTTAATTTTGTCAAATTCAACTATGCAAACTTAAAATGAAAGGAAATAGGAGGATATAACAACTTAAATGGCATCAGCAATTTCTCACACTCTTTCACCCCAAGAGTGTTAGCCTTAGTGACCTGGAGATAGAAGAAGTGAATCGCTTAGTAGATCTCTTTTTTATTCCATTCATGACTGGAGGAAGCATCTTAGGTTGCTGCTTGTGAGCATTACATTTAAGGACACAATGTTGTAGAAGTATTTCTTGTACGTTATGCCAGGGGCTTTGTCTGCTTATCAGTGGTGCAATACATCATCAGTGAACTAAGATTTTCATTGTATCATAAATTTGTTATCCCGAGAGTGGCAACTTAGTTTTACTTAAGATATTTTCCATAGTTCTAAGCACATGTGCAGACTCCCTGTTCAGAGGAAAAAGTTCTATTTATTTCTATGTATTTTGTTAATGATGACCTCTTTTCCTAAAATCTCCCCCAAACTATTTCTTCTCACTTCTCATTAGCAAGAATGACATCACATAGCCAAACCAATTCCTGGCAAGGAAAATGGTATCATGATCATTTACTTAGATCAATCATGATTCAACCGTAGGCTTATGGATGGGCCCATCTTCTATCATGCACATGGCCAAAGGAAAATTTTGGATTCCAATAGAAAAAAAAGAAAAGAGATTAAATATTGATTAGGTAGGTGTTGCAACATATTTGTTCATTAATATACTGTAAAGCACTATTTGTATTTCACATTTGTACATTCATATTACTTTATAAGATGGTATACATAAAACCATGTATATTTTACTTTATGGGAAATATAAGGACTTTTTGTAGGGCTAATTTTGGCTCCAAGTTTTGCTATATGATCAGTGTTACACTATAATTCACAGAAAAGACAAGACTCAACTCTAATATCAATATTAGCCTTAGTTTACCAGTTATCACTATCAGATGTGTCATAAGCATTTGTTTTAAGCTTGAATAGAGAACCTGATTGGGTGCTATAAAAGTTTGATCAACAACTTAAATGTTTATTTGTTTGTTTGTTTGTTTTTAAGGCAAATCAGCGTAGAGTTTCTTTCTGCTCTACATTGAATAAACCTCACCAAATCTATCCCTACATTCAGATACTCAATCCACAAATACTGAGTACCTTCTGTGTGCTGAACACTGTTCTAACCTTTGTGGGTGGAGTAATGAATGAGACTGATAAAGTACCTTTTCTCAAAGAGCTAACATTCTATTGTGAGAAAAAAAATAGAATAATCAGAGAAGTCAACAAAAAAAAAAAAGTGAGATACTGAAGAGCGTGTGAGAGCAGGCCAGTGGGTAACTACTTCAGGGGTCAGGAAAGTCCTCTCTGAGGACTTAAAATCTAAATGACAACAAGGAGCCACCATGGAAACACCAGAGAAGTACATTCTAAGCATTGTAAATAGTTGGTGCAAAGACCCTCAGGTGGGAATAAGCTTGAAATGTAGCCAGCAAGTGGGAAAGAGTAAGATGAGGTCAGAGAGGTATACGAAGACTAAATAATGTGAGATTTTGTAATCCAGGTGAAAAGGATTGATTTTGATTCTGGATATAGTGGCAAGTCATTGGAAAGATCCACTTGATCAGAAAGTGACAAGGTAACACACTGGATAAGGTATGGGAACAATATTGTAGGAAAACAATTGAAATACAGTTAGGCTGTTGTCCAGATGAGAGGTGATGGTGGGAAAGACCAAAGTGATGTAGTGAAATGTACAAAAATTGAACAGATTCAGGATGTTTGGGAGATAGGATGGAGGGAGTGAGGAAATAAGAGAACAGGGTTAACTTTTAAATTTTTGGCTTGAGCTATGGCATAGACAGTGAATTTTTTTCTGAGATGGGTAAGAAACAGGTTCATTGAGGAGAGATAGCAGGCAGAATTGAGAGTTCTGTTTTGGTCCTATTGAAATAGAGATGCCTGTCAGACATCCTTGTAGAGATGCCAAATAAACAGTTGGATACATCAGCCTTGAGTTCCAGGAAGAGCCAAGGCCTGGAGATAGAGATTTGGTAGTCATCTGCACATAAAAAAGCAAAGAAGTGCCCACACAGTTGTTTTAATTAATTCCACAGAGCCTTCTAAAGTATAATTTGGAGAACTGAGAATTGATGGGTACTTATTTATTGAAACATTTGTCTTGAAGATTTGTTGACAACACAATTGCTCAGAAATTAATTGATAGTTCATGACAAGCAGTGATGGCTCATTTCATCAAAGTTTCCCTAGAAGAGAAA